TTTTTTTGGTGTTGTTGCTTTTCCTGGTGCTGTCATTTTTCTTGGTGTCATCACTTTTTCTGGTGGCATTGATTCTGATTGCTTTTTCTGGTGTCATCGCTTTTCCTAGTACTGTAGTTTTTCTTAGTGTTATCACTTTTTTTGGTGATATTGATTTTGATCTTTTTCCTGGTGTTGTCACTTTTTCTGGTGGTATTGATTCTGATCTCTTCCTGGTGTTATCACTTTTTCTGGTATTTTCATTTTTCCTGGTGTCATTGTTTTTCCTAGTATCATTGCTTTTCCTGGTGTCGTTACTTTTTCTAGTAGCATTGATTCTAATTACTTTCCTGGTGTTGTTTCTTTTCCTGGTGTCGTCATTTTTCCTGGTGTCGTCACTTTTCCTGGTGCCATCATTTTTCTTGTAGCCTTTTTCATTATTTTGTAAGTAGGCTTGTTGCTTGGTGCATTTTGCTGTTGGTTTTTATCAGCTTGCGCAATATCTAACTACTCTTTTTTAAGTAGGTGTTTCTTGTAGATGGTGTTACTTCATTATTGTAGTAATCTATTGTTATTAATGGAGTGATTTTGTTTTGAGGAGCTGTAATTATGTTGTAGTGGTATTATAAACATCCTTGTGGTAGTTTTTTTAGAGGAGTATAATTCCTTTTTTATAGTTGTTTTGTTGTTTTTATTCATGAATATAACTAATACACTTTTCTATATTACAACAAATATGATTTTAATACTTGCATTCCTCCCTGGTCCTCAAGTATACCAGGTTGGTAAAAAGTAACTAAACAGTGACCTATTTTACTATCTTCGCTAATATTGAACTTCTATAATTATTTATTATATCTACGTAATACTGGTATAAACGTTAAGTAATAATCAATAGTTTAAAAAAAAGTTATTGTTTAGTTACTTTTCACCAACCCGATAGATATTAAGTGAGACTTGGGGCTTCGCATTAGCAAATGTCGAAGCTAGAATCTCAACTTTTGCTAAAAAAAGGGTTGAAAAGCAAAATGTGGTGAACTGACAAAGTGTAAAATGTGGTGAAACTTGCGAAATATAATAAACTGACAAAACTAGTGAAGCATGGTGAAACTGGTGAAATGTGAAGAACTGATGAAACTGGTGAAATGCGGCAAAGCTGGTGAAATATAACGAAACTAGTAAAATATGATTAACTGAAGAAACAGGGAAATTGGCAAAATATGACCAATTGATGAAACTGGTAAAATATACAAGTCACTCTTATTATAGTGAAGGAATCAGGCTGAGAAAAAAATCTTTACTATAGCTTATATCAAGAGAATACTATATAAACTTTATTATATCAAGAGAAAAGTTAATAATAATGCAATGAATTTTAAAAAAATTTTTCACTATATTAAGATCTTTACTATATTGAGAGTTCACTATAACAAGAGTGATTTGTATGAGCAATAGATCCAAATTTAATTAGGATGAAAGCCTGTGTTAAGGCCAGATTAAGGTAGGTATTAGTAGTATTATTAATTTGATATAATACAAATCTCCTTGGAACAGTCATAAAAAAAAGTATATAATTCTTTATAAGTTAGAATCAAACTATTTTGTATAAGATACCTGGGTATTAACTATATAGCATATATCATTCTATGTAAAATACACCTTTTGTATAATACCCGAATACTAACTTGGATTTTAACTGTGGAATATATCATATCTGGGGTACTATAGTTCATGCTATACAGTAGCTTACTAAATTATTAATAAATAAAAAATTTAATTAATTTTTGGGAATGATATTTAGTAAAATTATCTGGGATAATGATTAGAATTATCCATTTATCAAATATGAAAATGGTCTAATTTAGTTATTTATTTCTAAATTGATTTGTCTTTACATTTTTAAAATTGTCACACAGTATTAGGTAGTGTTTTTATTTTTTTAAAAAAAAATAAGGGTTAAGAAAGGTTAGAAATATGCGACAACACCAGGAAAAATAACAGCACCAGAAAAAGCGACGAAACAGAAAAATCGACAATACCAGAAAAAGGAACAGTACTACGAAAGCGACGATACTTTAACTACAAAAAAAAATGTTAGATATGTGCGAAACAGAAAAAAAAGATCATCAATTTATATTAATGTTCCGATTTTGTTAAACGTGTAAAAATAAAAAAGCACAGGTTGTTACTAAGACCCATGCAATAAATAAAATTTTTGTTTGCAATAAAAGATTAGTTACCCGCAAAAGTTATCACTAATAATTGATTTATTATAAAAATTAATTAATATTGATTGCTTTCTAATCGATTGTAACTATCCAATCAATTATAATTGATTATATTTTAATTAATTGCAAACATCTAATCAATTATAATCGATTATTGTTAAATTGATTACAATCTTTATATATCGATTAACAATCAAACATCAATTATTATTGATTTTTTTAATCAATAACAATCACCTCTGCAGCTGGTAATCGATATCCACCCTATTTAAAAATTTCCTGATGATATATAATTTATTGAACTTGAACATGTTCATGAACTTGAACTGAACTTGAACTGAACCAAAACTTTGAGTTCAGGTTTAGTTCAAATTCATAAATTTAAAGTTTAGTTCAGGTTCAGGTTCAAAGATCTGCAAAATTTAAAGTTCAATTCAGTTCAAATGAACTTGAACCTGAATCTAAATTAAACTGAACTGAACTTCGGAATACTATTAAAAACTATTTATTTATTATATCTAACTATAAATTATCAAATTCATAGTAGTATAAATTGACATACATAATATCATCATGCATATGATCATTATGCATAAATTGTTATACATACAATCATTATACATAAGTCATTATGCATAGATCATAATATTAGTAACTCTAAAACTAGGGCTAGAAATAGTCTAATAAAATTGAACCTAAAAAGAGATAGTGTTAATAAATTGAAATATTATAAAAACTCATGTAAAAAGAAACTTGTAAAGGCAGATTTCAAAGTCTCAAATACTTATTTTAAAAGCCCAATAAACCAATTCTTTTAAAAACTCAAAACAAACCAATAAATAATCAAATATTTCGATTATACTTGGTGACGATGACAGGACTGGGTTGCCAAAAAGAATCTAAAAAAAAAGAGAGTCAAATTAAAATATTTTATGAACTATTCATAATTGTGCATCTTTGCAAATCTAATAGATAATAATTTAGATATACAAACCAGATCTGAGATCTTATTCACCCTACCCAAAAAAATAGAAAATCTACTAAATTCACTAATTTTTGACATAGCAACTAGTCTATGCACTGAGACCTCTGCTGCTGCTGCACAAAGATCCAACTGTTATGATGACCAGAATATGCGACCTGAAACCCAAAATAGAAGATCAGGTAGTTTTGACAATCTTATCGACTTAGGAGTTCAATAGGGATACATCAATCGAACTTATCT